GGTATCATTGGAATCGGAGGAGTGTCGCGATGGACCAGGGTCATGCCATGTTCCCGGCGGTGCCAGTGTAGAGCTACGGCCTCGAGCCCGGGAAAAAGCACCCGGGCCGGCTGGTGACGACCTCCGTGCATCTGCAGCTGCGGAGAGGGGACTCGATTCGACGAGGGAGGATTGGGTGAGAAGATTGCGACGTGTTCCACGAGAAAGACTTGAGACCGCCCGAGTATGTCTAGGATTGGGCTGGTCGTTGCCTTGTGGGTCAATTCCAAGACCGGCGGGGGAAGAATCGGACGCACGAGTGTCAAGTAAGACACATGCATCTCGGTCGCCCAATGCATTTTGTGCAACAATCACACGAAAATCTTTAATTGCATCCAATTCCATTCCCCCACGATCATCATATGCACCAGCGGTTGAGGCATTCGGGGAATTGAAGGTTGTCTGCAATGGGAAGGCATGGGTATTGGAACGTCGAAGCAGACTGGCGTCGGGGAAAAGAAGACCGGAGGTGTGTTCCTCTTCAGTCACAGACTCAAGAGGCGTTCCATTGGTTCGTCCAGAGTATGCCGCCGGGTTTAGAGTGGACGCGGCGGTACTCAAGAGTCGGCCAAGCATGGTGAATAAGGACGGGGAAACCCGCAGAGAGAACAGGTACTTGGGAACGCAGGGAAAAGAAAACGGGCCGGTCGAATTCACGCGGTGTAACGATGGGTATCAGGCAGCTAGGAATATCTAGGCTGCATCCACCCATAGCTTAATTGAAAGAAGCAAGAATCATCATCAAACGATGAAGTGAATTGAGAATATCCAGAGTTATGAGAGGGGAGTGGAAGGTGGGATGAGGTGCAGCAGTGGGGCTTAGATCAGCAATTAGGAGTTAGGAATTGGCTTTGCACCCACGAGGACTCCACAGTATGATCAGGATTGTGTAGAAAACCAGGAAGTCAAATGAAATAATCCCAGAGCTTCTTAAGGGACCCAGTTCCTTGAACAGAGAAACCACCCGGGGGGGCAGTGGAGAGGGAACGTGAAAGGGCGGTGAATAAAGTCACATGATATCAGCCTCATTGTCTACAGTAAAGGATAGTGACCTATTTGGTCTTCTCTTATACATCTGATACCCCTACTCTGATGGATGCAGCCCTAGAAAGTTTCACGAGACACACAGGTTGAAGTATAGGAAGAGCCTATCTTAACCAAGTATTCCCAGATACCGGAACTGCATCCAATGATACCTAGGCCAACCATTACTACTGGTCAATATGTCGCTATTCTCTACCGTCATCGTGTCACCGTATAGTCGGGTTTGCAAGGAATCGTGTTACTCAAGGGCCGCTGATTTGTGTGATTTAAAATGGGTGTGAATTTGGGATTGGGGGGGAATAGTTCATCTCCCAAATATTATGCATGGTGGGCACATGCCATCTCTACACCGTCAATCATACCTCGTGTGATACAAGCATCATGCCTGCAACCCCAGATCCCACACCTCTAACCAGGCCCCTGTAATCATGTTTGTAAATACTCCGACGCTAGGAGAAAGCCCTCTTCATGTTGACTACATACATACTATGATGTTCTGTCCACGTGGTTTTGTCCTTCGGCCGTTCCATTTTCGTATTTTCGTGTTTCCGTTTCCCATCATAGTAAGTTGACACGAGACGCCACATTGGCTGTCAGCTATTCTAGGCAGCATGTTGCTAGTATCTAGTTGCATATTTCCAATGTACATATGTAAAAGAGATCATATTTCAGTGTGTATTAACTTCCAAATCGTTTCAGTTCTATACTCTCAGTGAGAACGCTTGACTTTTGCCACCAATCGCTTCAATTCCTCAGAGCTAGACTCCTTGGAGGACTTCTTCTGCTTCTTCTTGCTATCCCGGCTCTCTGTTGGAGCCTCAGCCTCCGCATCATCACCGGCACGTCGGCGCTTACGGCCCTCGTCCAACAGGGCCTTCATGCCGGAAGTCGACTTGAACCGGGGGTTGGTGGGATCGATGGCGAAATCATGAGTGTCGTACAGACGTGAGAAACGGGGGTCGCTGACGTTGACTTCAAAGTCATCTGCCTGAGCAGGTTCCACCTTCTTGCCCTTCTTGCCCTTGCCCTTTTTCCGGGCCTGTTTCTCGGCCTTTTCAATCTCGTTCATATCGAAGTGTTTGATGTTGACCTTTTCGTCATCCACCATCAGTAACTCCAACTCAGCCCGTTGGGCAGCTGACGCGGCTTCCTCCGCAGCACGTTCCTCACGCTTCTTGCGCCTCTCCTCCTTGCGTCGAGAACCTGCTGTAGCCTTTCCATCAGGGTCATCAAAGAAGGGATCATTGAATCCCATTTCTTCTTCCTCTTGCTGTGGAACCTCAGCTGGAGCAGCTTCGTTGTCTTCGCTATCCGCTGCAGCACCATCCTCTGCAGATGACTTGGCCTTGAGTTTCTCCTTTCGGCGCTTTTTGCGCTCACGCTCCTTCCGCACGTACTTGTCAATTGTGCTTTCTTCGATCTCCGGTTCATTTTCGAAGATGGTATCCTTGCCATGGCCGCCAGCCAAGCCGGATGTGAAAGTAACCTCCATCTCGCCGACGGGGCGTTCCGCTTTAGTGCGGGTAGGCTCGGCGCTCAGACCCAGCAATGCACGCATGCGCTGTCTCTCGGCCTCTTTCTTGGATAGCTTTGTAGTCGTGGCTTCTCCTGCGGTATTATCGACAACTTCGACGCCTCCGTCCTCGTCATCTGAATCTTCGTTCTCTGAACTATCGCTGCCGAGGTAGGCTTTCAGGTCGTTCTCATCAATGTCCTTGCGTGAGCCCCGGAAGGCACGTGCCTGAGCTTCTTTTCTTGTTTTGTCGTCCGCGTCCCATGTCAATTTTACCTTGCTGTGCTGCAAAGCATCCGTTACGAATTCAGTAGGCTTGTAACCGTCAGGGATCCGAGAACACTCGTCCCGCGGCTTGTCATCGGAGAAGTCAGTGTCCTCAGGCACGAAGCGAAGATCGAAGAAGTTGGCACTAGAGAGGTATTCGGCACCATCCACCAAATCGTAGACATGCTTGGCGACGTCTTTTGATGAAAATTTGATAATGGCGTAGTAATACCGCAGTCGGTCGAGCTGGTACCGCCGTAGCTGTGTAGAGTTGAATTCTTCACCGTCGTCAGCCTTCAGCATAGACTTCTTAATTTCCTCCTCCTCCTCGTCAGAGTCAAGTTCCTCTTCTTCGGAATCGTCGTTGATGTTCTTTTTCTTCCCAGAAGCAAAAATCTCTTTCGGGGGGCCTTCAACCTCCTCCCTCTCCATGCGCTCCTTTCCAAATTCGCTGGGGTAGACTGTAGCGTTCAACACCCGCCCCCCAGACGGAAGGAAACTGGAGAAGACTGCCATCAGATCCTCGGCACGAATATTTTCCCAATCGAGGTTGACGACAGCTATCCGATTCGTCACTTCTCCAAGTGGCACATCGGCCCGCTGCTGGTCCGGGAACTCGATCACATCCTCTTCCGCCTCGTCTTCCTCTTCGCTAGAGCTTTCTTCTTCAGATGACGAGGACTCAAAGCCGCCATCACGGGCAGGATCATATGAGGCAGCGTTGACCCGTTTCAATTCTTTCTGGACTTCCTCGTCGTCGTCGGCACTATCCTCATCCTCGTCTTCATCCTCGTCTTCATCCTCGTCTTCATCCTCATCCACCTGGTAGAACTGCTTCAATTTTTCCTTGGTGTCATCTTTTCTGAGCTTTCGTCCATAGCGGTCGACGGGAGCGTTGCTGGAGAAATCCTTATCGTCTAGCACATGCGCGAAGCGCTTATCGAGTTTGACATGAGTCTGGCGTTTGCTGGGAAGACGGTAGCGAGGATCGGTCTGAATGTTCGCAAATCGAGGATCCGCTACAGTGAGACGAATTGTCAGTAATCGTGGTCATGAGGTTTCCTAGAAATAAATCTCAAGCTTCCATTGTACGTACTGATCGCTGGACCGGTTTCGCCTTTGGGCTTGCCAGCCTTGGACTTTTTCTTGTCTGGGCCTGCCATTGTGAGCACTGAGAAATTTCACTTTGCACACCACAAGCACGCAAGAAGATATTTTCAATGCCTGGATATCAGTAGAGATCGAATCCAGCAAGTGAAAATAGTCGAGACCGTTAAATTATTTCTTTTTTTCTGCCCGCCGAAGTCAGGGCGGTCAGGCACGTGTATTCTCAAAACGGTAAGTCTATTTCTTTTTACTTTCCAGGGTGACAACCTTGGAAGACAACTTGAAGACATAATTTATAATGGTTAGTTGAGGGTTGAGTAAATATGCAAAGTCTGCATAAGCAGGTTCTTGCTAAGTGCCAATTCTGGTAACCCAATGCTTGGTCTTGGAAATAAATCATAATGAGCGAACAACATGTATACTTGGTAAAGCACTGCTGGCACAGTGGCCTAGCGCTCCATTGTTAATACGACACGCTGTCACTATACTAAGAAACGACCTCGGGGTAGATGTGTTGGGCGCTTGGCACGATTACAGACGCGCTCGAAATCAGTTTCACCGGCAGTACCAAAATTGCCCAGGTGCTGTAGCACTTGTTAAGGCCTTTGCCTGAATACTCGATATTTAACTAGTGATTAATATATGTCAACCTAGATACTCCTAATAATTCAACTTATATCTAATCAAATTAACTGTATATAATTAACTAGATTTATATATAATATGAGGGGAAAGAGGGGTTCTGTACGAGCATTGTAATTGATGAGAAATTAAAAATGGCGGTAGAATAATCTGTCAACCGTTCGTGGCTACCCAGAAGCGAGCAGCATGCCTGATCAGTGGAGCGTTCAGAACAACCGCAGCGGAGGCTCTGAACACCGAACTATATCTACCGCCGATTTCGATTCATATGAACCGCCTAGTGAAAGAAACGGCTCTACGACTACGAACAGGACAAGCATTTGCTGTCCCGCCAACAATGCTACGACGCTGGCCTGCGGACGAGAGAGAATGGGCCGGATGAACACCGATGGAGGCACAAGCCTGGAAGACGGGCGGCTGCCTTACGGCTTCCCCGGAGACTTTGGCGAAGAACTGGGAGAGTCGAAAGGCATTCGTCCTAGCACCATGGCAAGCGCCGCCAGAGGTGATAATCGAGGATAGAGATGTCGCAGTGGACCGTCATAATCAGATCCTGTTCAAGACCTCAAGGGACAGACCCCTGATTCTGTATACTGACAGAAACGGTATCGAAGGAAAAGTGGGCGCAGCCGTAGTCGTTAATCTGGAGGATCATATCGCTCACAGCCAATTGGGCGATGATGATACATCCACTGTATACGCTGCGGAGCTTCGCACAATAGGGATGGGACTCGCGTTAGTCCTGAACAGCACCGAGCCCTAGACGGCACAGGCAAAGAACGAGCTGGTCATCTTCGTAGATAGCCAAGCAGCACTTAAGGCGCTCCGCCGACCGAGCATACCGTCGGGTTAGGTCTACCTGGTAGGATGCCTAGACTTGGTCCGCCAATTAGCGGAACGGGGCATTCGAACCGAGCTCCTGATGCGAACGGAGGCACGCACAATTGTGACCGATTTCATGGTCCAAACAGGTCTTTTGGGCCAATTCCAAGCAGTCGACCCAATTGCCCTGGGTGCAGAAGAGGCTAAAGTAAGAGAACGACCCCTCGGGACGGTGTGACGGAAGGAGAAGGATGGCGCCCATTAGGAGTGCAATGCCAGGTCCACTGTACTCTCTTGATGCCAGCGAGCACAAGAGCGGCAGCCGACAGCCAGGATGGCTGCGCAAAACAGGGGTGTGGGGAAGGAGCTGTGCGGAGAAGAAGGCCCTGGGCTATAGAGGAGGCCAAGGGTGACGTTCGTTTTGAATTTCCTTTGTTTATTGTGTTTATGTAACCGCGTTTGTCGTACCTAGAAGATATGTTTTTCGAGTATCATAGCAAAAATATCTGAAATATACATAGATGGTTCCATAACTCAGTTGGTTAGAGTGTGATGCTAATAACGTCAAAGTCGAGGGTTCGACCCCCTCTGGAACCACATTGCTATTTTTTTGATGAATTTTCGTTCATTCTACTTTTTTCTGCAAGTCTCGCGGCGCTCTTTTTATTGTCCATAGATTTATGTAGTGTGATGTGCTAAGCCTACAGAAGCAAGAAGCATCAAAAGAGGGTGTATCGATTCAAGATAACTAAGATGGAGAGAGAGAGAGAGAGAGGGAAGGAAGTAAGGTAGGGAGAGATAGCAAAGTAAAGCAAATAAATGAGTAAAGTTAGTTGGTGTATAAACAAAGCACAGTAGATTGCCTGCGTCCTATGTAGATTATAGCAGCCAGATTATGGTTCAGGAGATGAAAAAGGTTGACCGCCAAATAGTTAGGAAAGGAAGAAAGGATTAAAGGATTAGTGGGTATAAAGTCCTTTGTGGGGTTTTAGTGTAAACCCTGCAAATACCACTATCCTCTCCGTGTCTCGGTTCGGTAGGCGGTTAACAGTGGCAGAACTACAGTTCTCATCTCTCAGATTGTGACACTTTTTTAAGTAAAAGATTCGCTATTTCTTATATTATAATAGGCTAAGGGGTAGCTCTATAGGAATCTATAGAGAGAATCTATTTTAAGAGATTAATTTTCAATTTCTATCAATTTGTATGAATTAGCGCGAGAAATCGCGCGGTATTGTATTCTATTATCGAAGAGTTAGGCGTGGTATATCGAAACGGTGCACTACTTCACGAATTGAAGAGATTTCTTGATCCTTAAAAGCCTGGATTGCTAGTGAGATCCTACCCTCTTGCTCTGTTGAATTTCTAGAGCTTTGAGAGCGAATTGGTGGTATGGTGGGTGGTTGAAGAGGCAGGGTTTAAATTAATTGACGCGTTTTAGATGGGGTGGGCCCCTCGCATGTGAAATACGTTAGTTAGTTAGTTTATGGGGCCCCACTTCCCTGAATGCCTGAAAGTTGCGGTGTCTGAACTTCACATTCGATCATGTGATCTGGAATCTGATCAGAATTTTATGGCTAAAATTCCTGGAAAATAACCATCGGTTCCATAACTCAGTTGGTTAGAGTGTGATGCTAATAACGTCAAAGTCGAGGGTTCGACCCCCTCTGGAACCAGCGTATTATGTTTTTATATTTTTTTTTAACTATCAGTCTCTCTAACCGAGTCATTGAACACAGATACCTGCGACAAAGGCGGTGTCTGGTTAATGACCCCGGTTATATGTTTATGCCGCTATAAAATTAGATTAAGTTGGAAGATTCTATTCAGACTAGTAATAGCATTTATTATGTAGCCTAATCCATCCTATTTTAAGAATGAATTTATAGAACTTTGGATAAAGGCTGTACTATATACATAGCTGGTTATGGTACATATGTTATATAGAATTTTTTTTTTTTAGTACTTGACACGGGATCAAATTTTGGTTTTGAATATGGTAGATAAAATATTTGAAATATGCATATATGGTTCCATAACTCAGTTGGTTAGAGTGTGATGCTAATAACGTCAAAGTCGAGGGTTCGACCCCCTCTGGAACCACGATTTCTTTTTTTTTTCCTTTCTTTGCTTTTTGCTACTCTGTATTCTTTATCTTTATTATTTGAATAAGAAGCAAAGTGCTCGACATGCGGAGAAAAAGAGGGATTTTTAATCAGAGCGGCAGTAATGTAATGACGACAGAAGCGAAAACTGCGCCAAAAAAAAAGCCCGAACATGTTTCCAAAGTTGAATTGAAATACAGTCCAACAGCCCCAGAGACAAGACGGCCGAAAGAACTCCGATATTGTTATTACTAGCCTCCACGTCCTGACTCTTAGCAATATCCCTTGGAAAATGCTAGTGTCACTAAATCGATACTACCGTGTAGGCCATCGTTACAGAGGATAATCAGAAGATCACGGCTACAAAAGGTGCTATAGAGGCTTTATGCGCTTTCCGACTTTAGTGACATATATCTCCATCACAGGTAACGTGTCTTTAACCCTCTTTGAAAAAAAAAGCCAAGTTCGGAAGCAACTACTCGTGTCAATAGGACCCTAGTTACCCCCTATAGAGGCCCACGCATGCTTATCTGCTAGGGCTAGTTGACAGGACTACAACGATGCGGAAATGATATTTCGAAGCATAGTGATACGTAATTTGATCTGCTTCGAAATGGATATTCGCGCTTTATAGTGCCGCCCACTTACCCTGGCAGAGCAGCGTCCATACGCCCGTGTGAGGATGAAGCGGGCTTGTTCAAGCCACGATACCATTTCTGATCATATTTAACTCGGAATTAACCGAAAAGAATAACCAATCACTGATACCAACCAACCAACCCAGACTGTCGTTACCATATCAAACTGGTAACCTGGCAAAGACAATCGTCAGATATAGACGCTTTGATTTCAACCAGCAACACTGTCATACACAGGTTATATAGTTTGGTTACATAGACTTGATCGACATGAGGGGAACATATTGCATCTATGATCGATACTCCCTACAGAGTATCGTACACAAGTGTATACCTTTGTTATTTGAATAAGAAGCAAAAATGATGACGAAGATGAGATAAAGAATACGTAGAGTAGCAAAAAGCAAAGAAAGGATAAAAAAAGAAATCGTGGTTCCAGAGGGGGTCGAACCCTCGACTTTGACGTTATTAGCATCACACTCTAACCAACTGAGTTATGGAACCCGTATTATTGGTGACCGCGAAAATAAGTCCTAGATATCCTAAGCATGCATAGAGGGTATTTTAACGCATTTCACAAGCGAATGGCTACCATGAGCGAGTGGCCACCTCTAAAACATACAGGAAATGCGATAAATTACAACTTGATATCGCAACAATAGTTTTATACAAGGATTTTCTTTACAAGTTAAGACTTTTTAGGTGGCATATAACCTCTTTAAGGAGTTTTAGAGAAATTCCATGACTCTGTTTCGCGATATATATATTTTTAGTTATCACCAAAGTGATTTTCAATACCGTGATACTAGAGCATTTTAATTTCTTTAATTTCTATATATTGAGTTCAAAATCTGTTTCAACTGCTATCGACAAAAAAGGGACACAAGAAGAATGTTGTTGTTGAGATATAAAGTTATAGAAGGTCACATTTACTATACGGTTTTGGCGATGGCCATTCGCTTGTGAAATACGGTATATAGTTATGTAGTCTTACGCTCTCCTTTTGTTGAGTCTCCCGGATCATGTGGCTCATTGCTGCCTAGAGCCTTTGTATAACGGTCTCAGTGCATGTCTAAGGGATTCTCTTAGTCCTTCAGTCCTCTAGCTTCTAGTTATCGATCATTGAATCCATCATATTGATTCGATTCCATGATCTTCACCGGCTACGAGACCTCTATTTTACTGATTATAATCAGTTTGACCACCACGCTTCCAAGAGCGATTTTCAAATAGGGTCTGCCCCTTTGATCCAGGGCATCAGCCATGACCCTTTTGAATACGGGGTCTGCACCTCTGTCCATTCTCACCAGGGTATCTCTCATCAGAGAGTCTTGTATACCTCTCTGAATAGATCCGTACAATTATATTTAATCATTATCCTTCATCAAACGAATATCGTTCTTCATTATATCTGAGCCGGGTCCCAACTATTACGACCTCGGAGCTAAATGACCAAGCCTTCAAATGACCAGAGAAGGATCATATAAAATTATAGAATATGAATATCCTCGAACAATCTAATAAGAGTTTCGAGCGCTGGCTCGATACAGTGCGATTAATTCTCTCTCCTCTGGGAATCAAGCGAGTCATCGACCCTTTAGAATACGCTAGACCTCTCACAACAGACACGAGACATGAGTAATGGCGTTATTGGTCTATAATGGTAGCCGGTTGGCTCTATACTTATATTGAAGGCGAATTGAAAGACCGTCTCAAGGCGTCCCAGGCTGATATAGACGAGATCATCGCCGATAAAATTGTCACGGAGCTTAGGCAGATGATGGGTGGTGATCACAAGGCGAATACTTTATGGCTTGAAGTTACCAAATTAGATAAGACAAAGCGGTCGAGCCTCAGCCCAGCCAAAGAATGCATCATTACGTATCAGAGCCAGAGATCGAACCTTGATTTGTATAGTAACGCCCCAGCACCGTTCTAATCGTTAGTCTGAAATTTGAATCAACCAAGATCTGAATTGCCGTCGATCTCATTCATCGAGGAGGATTTGAAGGATAAGGATTGCAAATATGATTGTTCAATCGACCATCGATATAGTCACCAATACTGTTCTGATCAAAGGATGTTACAGTCCACCGATGCCAGGAAGAATAATATCTACTGAACATTTGGTCAATAACCTACAAACTGTGTACGATATCATGAACAAGAAATTAAAGCATCCCAATAGGAGCATCTTTGCCCATATTGATCTACAGCCAGGTGTCCTATACATCATTAGCCCATTACCGGAAAAAGATAGGCGATATCCCATCGATGTCCACTCACCTGATCCATTAGAATTTGAAGATGATGACTACCTCTCACCCTCGAATCATCGATAACGGACTCCCTGGTGATGAAGAACTGGCCAAGAACAGTGTATCTTCAATTGGTTCTCCAACACCTACTAGACAAGGGGGATATCCGTTTTCGGAATCACCCAAGGGCTCTAGAAGATAACAAAGAGATCCTAATATCCCATCGATAACACCTTCTTCAAAGGCATAATCAGACCCAATCAATATTGTTTACGCTATTACTCCTTCTTCAGAGAGAGGATTGTCAACTAAACCCAGGTAAAAAATTATTTCTATCAGCTCAACACCCAATCCATTACTTGCCCCACCAATAAGAAGATCTGCCCGATCCATAAAGGGTATTACGCCAGATCGTTAGAAAGACGAGAATCTAAGGCTCCTCAACGTAGAGAAACGATCAATTCAGCGTTCTTAAAAAATGAATACACTTCTGACACATTAAAGGTCGACTAACGATAATTTTTTTCCCACATATAAACAGATACTTTTGTGCTTTGGTCTCTACTAGACACTCCTATATCTCCTAGGAAGCCCTATCGAGCATAAGTGTACTTTTCCTGGATGGCTTCCGATACGGATAAAGGACTATTTAAGCAGCCCTTGCTTAACGTGTTTAAACAAAAAGGCCGGCTATTCTTCTCTCTCTTACGCGATATTGTAGACTTATTACCTAATAACACTATCGTTACAAAATTTGACCTAGTCGACTGGCCCTATGTTGAGTGGGAAAATTGGAATGGTGCCTGCACTTTGATCGGCGACACGACCTATTGTATAGTGATCTGTAAGTTTATCTGCCCGTGAGGAAACAAATCCGAACTAGCTTCAGCAGATCGCGACGAGGGAGTGAACCATGCCATTGTGGATGTCTATCAACTCGCGGAAACTATCCAGTCGGCTGCTGATGGTCACATGTCAATGAATGACGCCATCAAAGAGTATGAGAAGCAGATGCACCCGCGAGCGAGAGAGGTAGTGGAGACCAGTAGATAGGCTGGACACAATGGCTATTGTTGTGCTAAGGTTGACAAGGAAGGAAGCTTCGCTCTTCTAGGCGAGAAGCTAGTCTAGTGGTCGGTCTTTCGTGTTGCTCGGGCCATCTGTGCAGTGTCACAGCGGTCTAGTACACCATATGATCTAGTACGCTTGTTAGATGTAAGTTACGTAAAGGTGATAGGGTATGAATATTGCTATTCCCGGGCTATTCTCAGTGTAGGGGAGTGGATCTTGGTATTTAGATTTGGGAAAAAAATCAAAGAGCATGCGTGGACGCCGTTTTCTGGAAGAATCAAAACATATCTATCTTTTTTCCCCTTATAATTTACTTTTCTGCCTCTGCTTTTCATAACAGATACCATAAAGTTGGTATTGTCAGTCTCAATATTCCGGCGTAAAACACCACCAGCCCTCTCTCTTAATGGTTACTAGTAAGAACTAGATGGCAAAGCTAGGTCTTGTCTTTTTTTGGTGTTCTTTTGCCCCACCCTGGTTGTTCCATTTGACTCTCCACTCGACCTGGTAGTGAATGCAGGTTGGTATTTGTCTATCGGGTGATCTACCCCTGTCCCGTTTAACCACTAACATAAACCCCAGTTTGTGGGACTGTGCTTTATGCAGGGGAGGTAAACGTTCATGCACTATATCTTCGGGGTCAGGCGAAGAGCAGATTACAGATGGCGTGTATCTATGGCTAGGGTAACCGGGGTGGGGTATACAAATGAGTCCGAGTCTGTTTCTATGAATGGAGGCCTCCGGCTTGGAAAGTATCGTCCTTGTTAAAAACAGTGGTTGTCACCCCCTTGAGGCATAAGATGGCACTGAGGAGCCTATTTGTGGTACCACTGCATGTTAGAATAGAACGAAGGCGTCCCACGACGCTTGAAGGAGGAATTTGTTGCTGATAGGCTAAGTATAGTGATTATCGGGATTATGGGTATTCTATAAGCTAGCCAAATACTGTAGATTATATTTAGTACTGTCTAGTTCCGAGTAAGTTCAGGTTGCCACTGGGACGCCTGCGTGGATGGAACGAGCCAAGTGACAACTCGCTAGACCCGCGAGGTCCACTCTGGTAGTTTGCATTCCCATGGAATATTCTATGGTTGAATATTCTCCTAAAAAAAGGCTTCCTATTTGAGCCTGCAGTTGATTGCCTCCTGGGCCGGGTAGAATACCTTCTGGTGATGGCAGAGGTTGCTATTTGAGTGGTTTTATGCTGCGCTGCGAAGTATAATTCCTAGGAACTGTGGAGTTAAATGACCTTGGTTAATAGATCATGGTCGCCATCTTCCACTAAGGAGATGCGTGAAAATACATTAATAGATGAAGGATATCTCGGTCTTATATCACCGGTGTTATATTTTAACTAGTAGAAGGAAAGCGATCCCATTTATTATCTTCAGGATTAAAAGGTTCGAAGTCCATCTCGAACTTCTTTTACGATCGCTAAATTAGAAGCTAAAGTTCGGCCACGCTATAAACTATTATCTTAACTTATATAAAATGAAACCTAATACGCCTCGGAGAAGAGACTACCCGTATACGAGGAAGTTCTAAACTAGGGCTCGAATTTCAGTTTAAGAGTGTTATATTCGGCGCACGGATCAATAGAGAGAAGTATACGACAGTTAAATACTTCTCTCTCTCGCTATTACTCTCTATAAGATATTCGAGAGCTTCACGAAGATTATTATCCTCTAAAAGAAAATAGCTAGGCTAGAATATCTGTTGATTAATCTCTTTAAACAGAACAGTTAGGATTAATACAAATCGTATTGCTTTAGCTGCCGAGGAGTTTAAGGGAATGAGAGGAGATCGTCGCACTCACGCTTTCCCGGTCCTGGCTACTTTATATGCAATATACTTTCTTAAAGTTATTAATGCCATGTATGCTTTATAGATGGGTTCCATAACTCAGTTGGTTAGAGTGTGATGCTAATAACGTCAAAGTCGAGGGTTCGACCCCCTCTGGAACCACGATTTCTTTTTGAACATTTGATGAATGTTCATTCATTATACTTTTTTTCTGCAAGTCTCGCGGCGCTCGTTTGCCTATCGCATGCTTCTACATGCTTGCTTTCTTTCTTTATAGTTGTGAAAATTCCTCTGGCTATTTTTTTTAATTTTCGAGATCTACGGAGTACCACTTACTTGCTTTCTTCCTTCTATCCATCTTTAGTATTTTAAATTGAGTAATCTTCTTGATCTGACCCGTCACATAGATAGCCTTTGAATTAAGTTGGTTGTAAACTTGGAAAGATAATAAATAAATAAATATTATATGTAAGAGAAAAAAAAAAGAAACATGGTTCCAGAGGGGGTCGAACCCTCGACTTTGACGTTATTAGCATCACACTCTAACCAACTGAGTTATGGAACCAGATCATGTGATAGTGTCAAGAATATGCATTTATCAATGTGTCGCGATTTACCTAAGTATCTACCTAGCTAGGCCTCGTTGCTGTGCTAATGTCGACACACTGTCCCATCACCCCAGCTAATATGCATTCTTATACTGTCTAGGCCCTGACAAATACTGCAGTAACAACCAAAGTTTGGTACTGTTTATCGGTATTGTAGGTATTACATTATAAGAGAAGAAAATTAAGCTATAGGAAAAGACACATGAAAATGTTAAACAGAATGATAGATAGTCTCAGTGCTGCAGAGCTTCTCTCTTCCTTCCTTTCCATCTCTCGCTTTCTTTAGAATCAATACGTACAGATTTGTTTCTACTTCTCATTGAAACAAGTCCATACCGCGCTTACAGCACAACCAATACGACTACCCAAACATCTCACTAGGATATAATGGATACCCCTAGTGATGAAGCCGTGCAAGCTTACATGGAATATTTTCAAAGAGACATAAGCACCTGTCGCTTTTTACCGTTCCTAAGACACATGATTTACTTCATTGTTGACGATTTCGACATTAAGATTGATGCAAATGCTCTACCCACTGCTGCTAACGAAGAGACAATTTCTGAAGAGACAGTCCGTATTCAGGTCATGGGTCGACTGCTTGATGAGTTTAAGGCCAACTTTGACGACCCTCTCGGCGAGCTTTTTGGTATGGAAGAAGAAGGGCCTGAAGAATATGCATACGTGAAGATCATCGATGTTTTTTACTTCTGCTTAAATCGGACACAGCGGCAGCCCTCTAACTTGAGCCGAGGGCCTTCCGTTAAAACAGCCAAGGAGTAGAGAGACGAAGATTGGAATGTTCATATCGAGGAGCTACATCGGCAAGCGAAGCGTGGTGTCCGGAAATTCATCTCTCGAGCACAGAAAACATCTCCATCCACTAGGCTAAGACGGAATTCATTATTTGAAACAGCAGACATAATGGAGAGCGATAGCGGTGTTACAGCAGCAATTTAAGCCAACTCACGACTCAACAGTCCAGTGCGACAGACACAGAAGGTCTTGGAACGAAATTCCGGTGGCTTTGATGTGCAGATAGAAGCAAAACTTCCACGTCCCCTGGACCTTATACCGGTTGATCGTCAGAATTATTCCAAACACCTACTTCTGAAAGTCAATGAGCTCCATTCGAACCGTTACGGAGAGATCCTGGAGCGGCATCCAACTGTGGAAATATGCGCAAAGCTTGAGAATAACCTCATGCCTGGTGTGAGACTGGTTAGTGATGGGGGACTGTTCTCCCTGGATGGGTAAGTGGATATCGTGAGACTCACGGGGTTGGTCCGCAGTTTCTAATAAGCTCTTGGATAGATTACGGTCGATTAGCGGAGATATCAAAACAACTGCCGCTGGCATTTACATGCATATTCTCTGGCCCCCAAATGATCCCCAGCATTTCTGCCTGTACGTTGGCCAAGCAAGAAATTTGGGAAACAGGATAGCAGATCACAATGATAGGCTATATCGCAGAAAACACCCCAGCCTTCATTATCACGTTTGGGATTCGCAAGAAGACATGTGTTCCGAGTTCGTTATACTTGCGGTATTCAACAGTGAAACCAAAGGACAGAATCTTTCTAGATATGAGCAATGTCTACTGAACTTGTTAGAGATGTGGATGGCTTGTTTGTTCAGAACCCTCACTGCCAAGGATCTCGACACATATCTGCCTCCATCTGCGGACCGTTCATCCGCTGGCCGCCATCTCAACGTCGTACCACCTATATGGCAGATGTTTTATGACGAGAATTTACCGGCAAGGAAAGAAGTTTTTGACCGAGCAGGGTTTGAAGCACTCATACGGTCAGATGACCCTGCCGTTCGATCATGGGCGCGCCAAGCTACAGCTTCGTATAACGATATCAGGAACTCTCCCGACCCGCGGCTACGCCGCTATTGGTTTGAGAACAATCAGAGGCAGCTCCAGCAGGCTTGGGACGCCAATGAAAAGAGAGCCATTGATAGGATGAAAGTCTATCAGGTCGAGGGCAAAGAGAGAACTATACGTTGTGCTCCAGGCCGCAATCGTGGTTATATCACGTGCGGGAAATTTAATATTCCTCTACCTCAATCGCTTAGCATGTCACCTGAGAGTAAGGTTTTTGTCCAATTTCATCTCTATGAGATGGCGGTCTCTCACCGCTACGCGTCTGAAGCAATGCCCTGCGATCCAGCGAGTCGACTTGCAATATCGATCAAAGGCTGCAATTCTTCTAGTGATGAGATCGATGAATGGATTCAAAGCTCTGGGAAGAAGGCCGCTATGAGAATAAACACGCTAGTAGATATGCTAGAGGGTATCACTCTCACTGAGACTCGCTCGTTTTGTCGGCGTTGGGATGTGAGTCGCACGGAAAAAGGAGCATCGCGGAAGACCAACTACACGAACGAGTAGCGCTAGTGTGAAAGCAGACAACCAGCAATCACATATGCGCGATTGAAGCGAGCTGCATGGAATGGCCACATCATGCCGATGATCTCATACAGGAGGTTGAGAAAGTCGTCGGCGGAAGGAGAATGCTTTCAACCGTCGAAGCCGAGATTTTGAAATGCAAAATCTTGAACGGGAAGACTTACCCATAGCTGCATAGTACATTATGTCCTACCAGCATCAAATTGAATCACTGGCTCAGTATAATGTGCAGCCTTAGCCCATGCTCTGCCTTGCTCTACTAATTCACCAACTGGGAGATGATGTGCCCACCATCCGTTAGATACGTGAGGATGTCGAGGCAGTAATGGCCGAGCGGCCTCGTCATGCAGCAATTCACCAAGATAAGCTCAACACTCTCCGATCACGGCAAATGAGTGGTCACGGCGGTGACTAGATGGGTTTTAGTAAAAAAAGAAAAGCACACAACCATTGGTTAGCCTTTTGATTGTTGATACTTGGCTACGGATTACAATCATAACCTAATATTTAGTGGTCCTAAATGGAAGACGTTTCATTCTTTTTACAGATATAGCATGCGGCATATTGGAAGTATTCTTAGAATGAGAAATGGCGAAACTAGAGAGCCTGATGCCGGCGATGGGATGTATGTTTACACGGACCTTGAACTGTCCGTTTAGATGTCATTCTATCGGTCTTCCAAATATTATGGTATGAATAGGTATTTAGTAATTCTTGCTCGTATAGAGGCGGCACATTTGTATGATAGGACAAGGACTCAACGATAATACCGTAGAGTAATCACATAGGTGGGCTGTTTTGATAAAGAAACAAATGTATCCATCATTCTGAAAGTTCGGCTAATCTGAATCTAGTGCCTACTATGATTAAAATCTAGCTTAAATACCGGAAATGATGGGCTGTGTGCTTCAATGCGGAAACTCTTGATATATTTTTACCATGCTATTATGCGTGATATACGGGATAGCATAATAAGTCCCTTCTTTCCGCAAATGCCGCCGAGGCCTGGTCTTTTTTAGAACAAAATGACCATCCCCATTTGAGATGAATCCTCCAACAAGAGTCGCCCTCTCGGCGTGTATAAAGCCGAGACGCTGATACAATTCCAGCTCGGACTTTAAAGAAAGGAATGTGTTTGATTGTTCAAGGCCAGAGGCTTGTTAATCCCCTCTTTATCTAGTAAAGGATCATGGCCAAACATGGCAATCTTTAGGGCTATGGCTATCTACTTAATTTTAGCGCTGGGTCTGTATAGCTTAAAAATTGCTATCCGCGTAAAATGGCTTAGAAAGGCCGTTGCCTATATATAATTAAGATCAATTTCACTAAATCTAGGCACCGTACGTGAATAGCAAAGTCAATAGGTACCATCGAGCCATATACCCACGTAAACCCCAGAAAGTCTGGGAAAGCCTTACCCGGCTGAATCAAAATAACATGAAGTCTAGCTGGAATTGATTTGGTTAATCTTTAAGCAGGATAAAAAAGATTAGGGACTTAAAAGAGCAAAAAAAGAATCTTGGTTCCAGAGGGGGTCGAACCCTCGACTTTGACGTTATTAGCATCACACTCTAACCAACTGAGTTATGGAACCGATTATGGTTATCGAGGGAATATTGTGTATTATGAGCCTAAACACCCGAAACCAGACAAAATCACGATGTATAGATCGATTTACAAGCCACTGAGTTTCACTTCGAATAAAATTACTCCGTAGTGATATCCTATAAGGGACCCTCGGTCTATTATTCGGACCCCTTCTCTACTCGCTAAACCTATTGAGGTCTCTTGCAGTAAATGTATTTCCAATGCATTTTCCCGGTAACAATGCGCGCGTCCTTCACCGCGTTGGCGGTTAGGAACGATAGGTACTTCTATTACTATGTAGCGCCCTAGCAAAATGAAGTCAGTGATATTTACTAACCTCACCAGTCTACTTAGTGAGCAAAAAGCGGCACGGGGTGAGCACTGGAGCGGAAAGGGAAAGCCATCTCGCGGCCTAAGATCCAGTGTATAAGTATATCACTGCTTTCTAGGATTTCTAAGAAAAGGGCAATCTCGGCAATTTGGGTTTTTACGTATTAAAGATGGAGTGCTAAGAGTGAACTCTCCTAAAAGGGGCTATAACACTGCCCAGGTGTGCCAGGTGTCTTACATATACTTGGAGGGATAATAAGTGAATGAACATTTCAACATCCAAAGTACCGCTTTTCTATCCAACGCGGCTCTCCCTCTTCTTCGATGCGTCCAACAATTACATTGATCCTGGGGTATACGGCAGTAAGCCTCTTGAGACCCCGCTCACCTGCTGCGCAAGTTACGAAAACGATCCTCCCTTGTTCCACGCCATGATCAATCAGGACGCGAACAGCCATAAGTGCAGCACCTCCACTGGACATCTGAGAGTCAATTAGTATGACACTTGCATGTTCTTCGATATGCGACGGAAGTTTCAAGTAATGCAACTCCGGCTCCTCATTGCTCTCGTTCGTTTGGATGAGTACGCGACCAGTAAGACAGTCGGGAATGGATCGCTTAAGTGCAGTCTCCATACAAGAGCCTCCACGTAGGATAGCCACGGCTGATACGATGCCCTTGGGATGCAAGCCGAGGTATGTGTTCCCCTGTGGTGTTTCCACATTTGCGGATACATACGATGTCATATCCAACGCCCTGCGATAGTGATGTCAGCAAAGTAAATATAAGAGGCAGGGTAAAGAGCAGTACTTTTCGATTAATATCGAAGCCAGTCGATCAAAGTAGAAAATGAAATCCTCTTGCTCAGTTTCTGGGCTCTGTAGAATAGTATTCATGCCAAGGAACTGCGGTGTCGAGGGCAAGACATGGACATTCGAAGGCAGCTCGACTTCTGCTGCAACCAACCCTAGTCTGCGAAGCGCTTCAGTGTGCTTGTCGGATTTCTCCTGCAGCTTGCGTTGAATGTGTTTGACCACCATGTCTAAATTGATTAGTATACAGCTCTCAAAATCAGCAATTCCAGGGGATTGTATACCGATAGCAGTCGTGTTCTCAATACCACGCGGGATAATAATGTCTAAGATGCAAAGTTAATTAGAAGTCTTTAACGCTTTGCAATTTCCGACGGCCAACCTGAGATAGGGCGTTGAGGCTCCACAAATCGAGTGTAGGAAGGCTTCACGAAGTCAAACCATTGTTTGATGATTCCTTCAATGTCACGCCCTCGCTCACGGACGTCACGCAAGACTATAGATTTTTAGTGGGATTGAGGTAGCATAATTGAGGAAACTAAACTCACCTCTGCGACCTAAGCATACATCCATATCTGCTTCGACGAAGATCTAGGACATCAAATTAGCCCTGATAAGCACAAGGATAGCAGGATAGCGGGGGAAAAAAAATAGAATACCTTCACATCCAACATCTCGACGATTCTAGGATCATGGAGCGCCAAAATTCCCTCAAGAATGAGCACACGAGGGGAGTAGAGGGTGGTTGTCTGAGGCTGCCGCTGGTGCTCAGAAAATGAGTAAACTGGGATGTTCGCTTTCTTTCTGTGACATCCAGTCAGATCAAAGAGAAGAACTCTAGGGGAAACAGTAGATTTACCCTTTCTTCAGATCACGGAGGGTCTCCACCAGAACATCAAAGTCAATCGATTCCGGGCAGTCGAAATCATATTCGTTTGCATGGGCCTTGTGGTGTTGCTCGGGAGTTAAGTTCTTGTAAAATGAGTCCTGCATGGAACATATTAGAACAAGAGGCTCTCAATTTAGATGCATCAAAGTCCACAAGCTTTACCATTACGAGGATCACCACCCACGGCAAGTTCAAAGACTTGACAATCTCTATCGCCACAGAACTCTTACCGGAGCCAGAGCTGCCAGCAATACCAATAATGCTCAAGTCCTGCCATGGTGGAGAATATCGCACTTCGGGGGACGAAGAATATAAAGGTGAAATCGTTTCCATGTCTACGTGTGTGACATACAACGCTGTAGGTATCTCCCAAGGTTGAACCTTTCCACCCCTCTGATATCAATTGTGATAGCCTTGAAAGATACGCAGGTGGGGACCCACTGTAATTACCTAATCATTGATCCCAAAGCGGGTTAGCCGTGGTTCAATATTTCCTGGAAGGTTCCAAGGTTGCACTAATCACGTGCTGCTTACTCATATATTCGTAAGCGTCCTATTTGAGCTTAGCGTAATGCTTTCGCTTAAGCTACTTCTTCCGCCGCGAGCTTTTCAATTCCTTTTCTCTTTCGCATCCAACCCGATCTTCTCCCACACAGCGATTTGCCTTTCCCCATGGCCGTCGTCTCTCGGGTTGCCTTCCAGCTTTACGGATAGCTTCAGATCAGATTCAAGACTGGCTATCTAGCTCATAATGTCTGCTAATCTTGTATGCTTCTCGGCTTGACACCCGTGGTTGCTGGCCTTTTAACACTATGCAGATGTCTCGCACTCCCTCGACTGCGACGCCTACTTGGCATCACTTCGAGCGGAAGCTCGAGGAGGTCAAGCCATCTAAGACGTGAGTTAACTTTCCCCTTCCACCCCCACCTACCCGCCGCCGTGACATGATGTTCTTGAAATTAAGTTGGGAATCTCTCTGAAAACATGTGAGGAAAAACAAATTGACTTATCCTTCTGATTCACGTCACAACTGCAAAATTTTCACTCATCCGTTGAATCAATGGTTACTGACAATTATACTACAGTGATATCAACTATTTGGTTATGGACTACCTCATCACTAATGGCTATCCCGCTGCTGCGAAGAAATTCGCAGTGGAGGCCAATATCCAACTCAGAACGGATCTTGAAGCCATCCAAGAGCGGGTTGAAATTCGCACTGCGATTCACTCTGGTGATATTCAGGCGGCCGTTGAAAAGATCAACGAGCTAAATCCTCAGGTAAGAAAAATCCCTCACTAGTCTATTTCACATCCCTTGGCCCCACTTGCTATGATTATACCAAGTTTCATGCACCACTCTTA